GAAGCCCCTCCCACATCGGTCTATGACGCCCCTATCATCTTATGAAACACTCTGACAGATCCAACAGCAAATGGATAGCCCAATTTTATGGTGTGTTTCCTCATTACTAAAGGACCCATCATTGTGCTAATGACGGAAGGCCTTTAAAGTGTCCATCATATGGATCTCCCTATCACATGCACTCATATTTGCAAGAGGGAACAAAATTACGCCCTAGTTCTAATTTAGGTCAACCCAAAGTGGCTCCCACTGACTTTCATAAAGTCATATTTCTGGTGGGCCTGTATCGGCTAGGGTTTCCGCACGCGTCCCTTTTCAGGGTTGTGGGGCCCATCAAGHAAGGAGGGGTCATCCAATGACCTTATGGGACACCATGGCAATGATGTGCATTCAGCCATGGTGTGCGCAAGAGCCACTAACGAGTCATCATGGGCCAAGTGCTTATGGCCCATGGTCGCAGCACATCAAACATCCACACATCGCATGATATGGAAGAATTGATCCAATCAATTAACTACTGTAAAGCCCATTAATCAGCCCAATTAAAATTCATAACATTAACAATTAATGTTGTCTAGGTATATGGGCTGAATCGCAGTTGGCAGTTCGGCCCATATAGCTTTTCTCACAAGAGTGGACTTTTGTAGTTTTAACCCTTTAAAACTGGGCTTTACAGGTGGGCCAAATTAATCCATGCAATTGAACATCAGATTTGGAACAGCAAGTGTGAGAAAAATTGGACTGAAAACAGTCCCCTTCGAACCCTAGATTCGGTCCAAACAGTTTTGGTTCAATCTAGTCTGAAATTGTCCGAAACTGATTTTCAATTCAAGAGTTAATTCATGAAAGATCTAAAATTAATAATTTTGATTTTAGACAATCATAAATCAAATATGGACTGTTCGCACCACCTGCAAAATAGAGGTTAATTACTAGGGTTGTTGTTTCACAAACTGCAAATCACAGAAAAYGATCTCTCTAGCTGCAAATCTTCAGCGCCGCCTTCTTCTTCAATCAAGAAAATAAAAAATTACGGAAATCCTATTTCTATTAATTAATTACATTCTTGATCAAATCCTATACATTCAGTCTAGAAAAAAAAATATTTTACAGACCAAATTGAATGAATAATAAAAAAAAAAGGTTTGCGCAGACCATCTGCACCAAATCAGCACTTCGATCTCCAGGTTCAAACAGTCAATTAAATCAAAATAAATAAAGAATAGTTCTAAATAAATTTTAGATTTAATAAAATTAATTTCAGATCAATTGCCCTCAACAAGAAACAATTTCTTGGAAAAATAAAATAATCTGCGCAAATCTTGGTAGAACAACTTCTACTCATCTACGCAGGTTCAGATCTGATTTTCTTGGTTCAAGATTCGAACCTGTGGCTCTGATRCCACTGAAAGAATGGTAAGATCCATCTTATGGACGCCAAAGAGGTTACGGAATGGGTAAACAAATTTCAAATATTTTCCAACCTTCTTCCAACTGGGAATCATATTCTCTAAATTTAGAATACAATATTCAAGGATCCTACTTGAACCATAATCAAACCAAATCTGAACCAAAAGACAAGGGAGGATATATACCTAATCCAGACAAGAAGTATCTCCCAAAGTTGGTGTTCACGCCCAAAGAGGACACCAAGTTCTGCTCCTGCTAAAGATGACAGCAATATGTGGAACGGAACCAACAAAGTGCGTCCTACACACTGAATCCTTCACAAGAATCCTCTAGMAACACTGAGCACCGAAACTTTTCAGTTCTTTGATATCAAGAACTGATTTCTTGATTTCTTTTCTTCAAAGATCGAATCTTTTCAGAGAATGGTGGCGACTAGAGGAGAACTCCTGAGATGAAGATGGCGAAGAATGCTTCTCTTCTCTCTGGAGTGTATGAGATCCTATCTCAATTCGCAGCAAATTTTCTTGCTCAAAACCTTACATTCGAATTATGTTGTATCTCTCTTAGGGTTTCTCCTCTTTTCTTCTTTCTTAAGAAATCTCCTAATTAGGAGTTATCCCAATCCAAATCAGCATCTGGATAGGGGATGATCTTAATCTTATCTGCAGATTAGGTTAGCTAACTCCTGATCTTATCAGGAGATTACCAT